AGAGAGAGAGAGAGAGAGAGAGAGAGAGAGAGAGAGAGAGAGAGAGAGTTATGTGAATTCAAGTTCCACTATGGGAGAAAAAAACAATATTGTGTGTGCATTTCCTTGATGTTTTAATAGTAAAAACTGTATGAGTATCACTGAAAGTGATATCATCCCCATCTAGGTTGGGGTAATTCCCAGACATTCCAAGCAACAGACAGTGGCTACGGCAACTGCAGGCCTTGTTCAACTATAAAATATTTTTTAAAACGTTTTAGTCCTGGCTGCATTGGGTTGTTAGCACCCATGCATGTGGGTGATAGTTGCTGAGGAAGTGTGATGATGTTTCTCCAGGTCTAGAAGACTTTGTCTGTGAACCTGATCAGTATGCTGCTCTAGTGGCAGATCTGCGGAGCAGTGGAATCATAAGTGATCATCGCAAAGGGCTGTCTATGTACAAACACTCATTCACTGGAAAGAACTTTATTGATTGGGTTGTAAAGACAAGGGAAGTTGGTAAGATAGCAACATTTTTCATTGCACCTAAAATTATATACATGAATCTTTATCTCTAATATATTCATTTGTGCCACCTATTATATATATATATATATATATATATATATATATATATATGTAAACGTTCAATTCAGGGAAATTTGCATATGATAAAATATTACGTCCTGGAGTAAGTTCGTTTGTACGTCTGTAAGAGATTGTTATAGCTTATTTACATGGATTAATGACAGGTCCAGTAGGGTTGCAGTTGCTTGTAGTTAGTTAATATTGTGTCTATTTTCTGGTAACAGATAGAGTAACTGCAATCGAAATGGGAGAGTCACTGATTCAGCAGCATTTTGCCCACAACGTGAAGCGAGCCTCTAAATTTACTGATGATGCAAGTGTCTTCAGACTTCTGGATGATGAGCAATCTGGGGCACTGAATGCTGGAACCATGTCAGAGTGCCTTCCACTACCTGGTAGGTTTCACCTTATAACAATTTAACTGATTGTTGCCTATATCCTGATAGGTATTGTCTTGATGGGACAGAAAAGAATCTGTGATTTTTCCTAAACATGAGTTTTAATGTAGTTCGGTGGTGTAATAATTACCTGGATTTTTTTATTGCATGGTAGGTATTGTCTTGGGAGGATAAAAAAAAATATCTTAAAATTTCCAATAACCTGTTAGGTTTCATCCTATTACAGTATAAAAATGCCTGAACCTTTTCTACAGCTTGGTAGGTTTTATCATAATACAACAGGGAAAGGTCAGTGTGTTTTCTGTAACCTGGTAGTTTGGTGTTATCAGGAGTCTATCAATATTGATAGACTCCTGATATTATCAGGAGTAAATAATCGCAAATTTGTGATTATATTATTTACTCCTGATCTTATTATGGTATTTAGTGATACACGCTACATTTCTCGCTCCACTATCATTGAGCATCTGGAATAGCAGTCTGAGCAGACTAATTATATATAGCTTCCCTATGATATAAATGAGGATGGCAACCTTTTCATGCTCAGGGCGTATTGTGCAGTGAATGCCAGCCAGTGCAGATGAAATGCTAGTTTGTGGTTACTAATATGGCGGAGAGGGTCTATGTCCCCAAGAGTACTGCCGGAACGTACCCTGGTACTATCTAATATGCCAGACTGTACCTCGCCTACTCCACTAACGAGTCTAGGGAGTCGCATACGCCTACTCCCTAACCCTAACTCTAACCCTGACCATATCAAATAGTTACCAGGGTACCTTCCGGTATACCGGACCGTACCCAGGGTACGGCAGTACCCTGGGGGACATAGACCCTATGAGCACTAATATGGTTAAGTGCTTTTGGTACTTCTCCATCAGTGAGATGGCTGTATTGTGTGTATTCCTATAGCAACCAACCTGCTATGGACACCTATATCTATGTTATTGCTCAGTTACTTTATTGCCTTATCCGGTTTCCTCTAAGCTTTACATTATGGTTCATCCAGGAAGTCTCTATTATAGTTACTCACTTATGACATGTGCACTGTACTTCATAAATGTTCATTACTAGGGATATGTGTCATATATTATAACTCTGGGTTACATTTGCTTTATATCTAGAATAGAAGTTGCAAGAATACCATATTATACCACTTCAAGTTGGCTTAAAAACCAATTTAGTCAATAGAAGTAGTGAGTGTGATGCGCTTCACTTTTAGAATATATCCTGCTGCATATATGGAATTGGTATCTGTTTGGCGACTTTTAAATAGATTGCATCATGAGCCTATGCATTTAAACACACTTATTGATGGTTATATGATATCTACATCTATGTGCGATTCGACCTCTCGAGTTCCCGTCTTCCAGTCTACCAGTCGTGCGCTACCCGTGTAGCCACAGGCACTTGGAGAGTTTCAATAAAACATAATGCTATCATATGTCATAGGGTTGGACCGTACTATATATATAGCCTAGGTATAGGTTTACGTATGTTGAGAGGTGGAGGGGCTTATGGGTATTTGCAATTAATTGAATTATATTTTTGAGGATGAGACGGGATACTAGAGAAGCGTTGCCGAAAGGAGGTGTTGATCCGAAGCGCTGAGCGTAGATCTTGCGTGCAGTTCCGCGGCAAGGCGCACGCGACCGCGGGAACGTCCTATGACAGTATGCAGCGCTGGCAGCTATGGATCTGTGCGCCGAATGCATAGGTCGGCGCACGGATCCATAGCTGCCAGCTAACAGTCGAGAATTTTACCGGGAATACAATAAAAGAGCTCAGCTGCATTGAGCTGCTGTTCTTTGCAAGCTCAATGAAAATATCCATAAAAGTGTCAACACCTTCTACTTCGACACTGTGCTGTATAAGTTTTATTATGAATTGTATTTTATTATGCGTCAGTGGCTTCATGTAACGAGCGGCAGCTGCAGCGGATACATAAGCTGGGTTTTATAAATAACTAGCAAAGTACCCGTCCTTCGGACGGTGGGAATTCATGAATAAGTGTATTAGTGTTGTAGCTCACCTAAGGATCAAGGGCTTCTTTGTAAAGTATGTTTTTGGTCTTCGTGTGCTGTGTGTGAATGTACATCGCCCTGGGTTTGCCTACTTGTGAGAGGGCAACATAGAGCATGCCATGAAAAGAAGACAGGTGTGGTGAGGCCCAAGCCTATGGTAGTGAAAGTCTATGGTAGTGATGCTCACGGGTGCGGGCATATGCTGTGAATGTAGAGATGCATGGTTTAGCTGAGAAGAAGTACTTTGAAGACGTAAAATAGAATACAAAAGTTTATTTGATAAGATTTACAGGTGATGGGCACTAAATTACAGAACTTCAGGGTATACAACGTTGGTAGTGTCGTAAACAGAGACTGATTTGCCTTGAGTTTGGTTGTGAGTAGTTTCCAGTTGAAGCTTTATCTCGGCGAAAGATTTAGCACGTAAAGGCCGCCGCACACCAGCCGATTTTTCACGCGATTTGATCGGCCCGATAGAAATCAGCCGATATCGGGTAGGTGTGCGCGTTCATTTGTAG